GCCAGATTGGTAGTTGGGAAGATTTCTCATAAGAGATAGGAGGATTTAATTGTTCATAAAGTTTTGTTCATATTTTTTCTGATATTCTCTGGTCTTCAACCTGATGTTATAAAATATTTTTGAGAATATGTTTTCTTGATTCAGATTAACCTGGTCAATTCAGTATCTTTTCCTTCATTACTTCTATCCCATGACATATTAAGAAGGAATTTGTTGTTGTTGTTGTTGTTAAGTGCCGTCAAGTCGATTCTGACCCATTTTTCCAAGGACACCAGTGACCCTGGTTTCCAAGGAGCAGCTGGTGAGTTTGAACTGCCGACCTTGCTGTTCAAAGGGCTTTGCAGTCTGGCGCATTAACCCACAGTGCCACACCAGGACTCCACATAGTATGTAATAGGGACTTAAAGAGATCTAAGACTGTATTCTTTAAGAAGTTAATGTATAAGAACATTATTATTCCTAGTCTTGTATGTTAAACAGTTTTCCACTATGCTTGTTTCTTAACACTATAGTCTTTTCTAAGTCTACTAACTTAAGATGTGAGAGAAAAATCCTTTGTTGAGTGAAAGTTTTATGTATTGTGCTTAATGTCACCTTAATGATTTTCTCATCCGGAGTTGTACACTTGTTTGAAACTTTATAAATCCTGCTTGCCATAGTTTTATTAATTGTGAGCTTATGTGTTTTGTTATAGAAAGAAGATAACCATCACTATAATCTAATTTTAATACACTTTAACCATTCCATAAAGAAATTTTATACCTATTGATGGTCACTCCTCATTCTTTTGTCACCCCACTCTTCCTGAAATCCCTAGGCAACCACTGATCATCTTTCCATTTGTATATATTTGCCTGTTCTTAGGTATTTCATATACATTGGATCGGTCATACAACATGTAGATTTTTATGACTGGCTTCTTCCACTTTTTGTAGTTTTCTTGAGGTTCATCCATTTTGTAGCATGTATCAAAATGATTCCTTTTTATGGCTGAATAATATTTCGTTGTATAGGTGCTACATTTTGTTTATGTACTCATCCATTGATGGATTTGGGGGTTATATCCACTTTACAATATTGCTGTTAAGAACTTTCCTTTACAAGTTTTTATGTAACTTATGTTTAAGTGGGATTCTTGGACCTCGATAGAGTCCCATTGAGCCTTGGTGTTATATGGAAATAGTTTGTAGCGATCCTTAATGGAACCAGTTGCAATGTCTGATAGGGGCTGGACTGCAAGACACAAGGTCAGTGGTTCAAGTCTAACAGTCGGTCCTCAGGAGAAAGATGAGACTTTTTATCCCCACAGAGATTTACTACGTCGGCAATTGTATACAGGGTCACTATAAGTAAGAACAGACTCAACGGCACTTAACACCAACATTTTTAAGTTTTCTTAACTCGTATCCTTCCATCTTATGCCAGTCTAGTATTTAAGTGACAGTCTGATGTATGGTAGAACAATATATGATACTGAGTATCAAAAATACCTCTTTATCTCCAACTTGGCAGCCTGTTGTTGTTGTTGTTAAGTACCATGGAGTTGGTTCCGACTCATAGAGACCCTGCACAGGGTTTCCGAGCTGTGAATCTTTACTGGAGCAGAAAGCCTCATCTTTCTCCCGCGGAACTGCTGGTAGTTTCGAATTGCCGACCTTGAGGTTAGCAGCCCGATTCGTAACCACTATGCTCGGCAGCCTGTATATGCCATTAATATTATCTCCTTGGCTGAGCCTTTAAGCAGATTGCCCTTCTTTTACCTGACGTTCCTGCTCCTTTGGAGATATTGTTGTTAAGTGCCGTTGCGTCGGGTCTGACTCATGTCAGTCCTGAATAGGGTTTCCAAGGAGTGACTGGAGGGTTTGAACTGCTGATCTTGCGGGTAGCAGTCCAGTGCTTATTGTACAGCGCACACCAGGACTCCTTTTTGGAGATATAAAAGAAAAAGAAATCTGAGATCATGGTAAATTCACTTCAAATACTTTCATTTTATTTCTGTGGCTTGCTGTCAGTACTACAGAAATAAAGCACAGAATGATGTTCAATGTTAGCTGGCAGGTGAGAGTTTTACAGAGAGAAAAAACAAAACCCTATAGAACATTAGGAAAAGAACTGAAAGTACATCTTACAGAGTAAATAAATCACGTTTGTTGTTCTGTTTTATTATGTAATTATACTTAGTCTGTTTTAGACATTTCTAATCAGCTTTTTTTTGTGTTACATTATAATGAATTATAAAATGCAATGGCTGTAGGTTCAATGAATTGATCGCATTTGGTGAATATGGAAAGGCAGCTCATTTTGCAGCCAACAGTCCTAGAAGAATTCTTCGAAACATTGGTACAATGACTAAGTTTAAGGGTAAGCATGTCTCTATGATTATATATATACTCATATATATATATTATACTTTCCTTTTCCTCATGGGATAGAAATGGTATTTATCTGAATGAAAAAGTTATGGGCTTTAGCTCCATTTCCATCAGTTACTCAGTTTCCTTTGCTAGAATCTTAAGGGGTTTCATTATAGCTTTTAAATTAAATTATGGATATTTTTTATGTACAGAAAATTTTATAATGAAATATTATAATACCCATGCACTTAGAATCTAGATTTAATAACTTAGTATTCTGTCATAGTTGCCTCGCATCTGTTTTTTTCTTTTCTTTTATTGTAGTAAAATTTAACAAAACATTTACTACTCATTCATTGTTAGGTGTACATTTCAGTGACATTATTTAACCTTCACCATATTGTGTAACCATCACCGTCACTCATTTCTATTTGCATTTTTGGTCAAATTTTAGAATTACTTTGTCAATTAAAAAAAAAAATAGCTGCCAGGTTTTAATTGGGATTACATGGAATCAATAGGACATTTGAGGAAAAAGTGACACTAAACAGCATTGTGTCTTTTAACCTATGAGCATAGTATGTATCTCCATTTATTTATGTCTTTAAAATTTTCTCTGAGTCCAAAGTCACAGGGGACAATTTAATTGGCATAACATAGTTCACAAAGATAATATTCTGTATCTGAGTTTGGTGAGTAGCATTTAGGGTCTTAAGAGCTTGCAAACAGCCGTTTAAGATACAACTATTGGACTCTACTTGTACGAACCAGAAGAGAATGGTGGGAATCAAAGGGTCAAAGAAGAATTTAATCCACAGGACTAATAGCCCACACAGACTACAACTTCCTCATATCTTAGACCATAAAACTAGATGGTGCCCTGTTACCAATACTGAATGTTCTGATGAGAGACACTATAGAAGATTCTGAATAGAATGGATGAAAGATGTAGAACAAAACTCGGATTTCCTATGAGAAACCAAGAAATGAGAAGAGCTCCAAGATTATTGCCCTAAAATAACCTTTGAACATGTAATCGAAGCTATCTCTGTGGGTCACCCTAAGCCAAATAATAAGTTGGCTTACAAGATAAATGGTATCACCTGTCAGTCACCTCTGAGTCACTGTGCTCACTCAAACAGTGAACTGTGACACCAAATAGGCAACATTTACCCCAAAACAAAGGTGAGAAGATCAATGGAAGTAGAACAAACAGAATGGAAATAATGAGAATGCTGACACATAGTAAAAATTGTAACCAAAAGCATAGAACAATTTGTATAAAACTTGTTAAATGGAAACTTAATTTGCTGTCTAAACGTTCACATAAAACACAATAAAGTATTATTAAAAAAAAATTCAGCAATGTTTAGTAACTTTAAATGCATACGTCTTATATATTTTTTGTCATAGTTATCCCTAAGTATATAACAGTTTTTATGCTACTTTAAATTGTATTTTTGTTTCGTCTTGCTAGTACATGAAAGAAGTCCCAGTGTGGAGCTGTAGGATAAACACTGGAGGTCGATTTAAACACCAAGGTGGTGGTTCATACCCACCAGCCACTCCTTGAAAATACTATACAGGGTCACTTTGAGTTGAACTGACTTGATAGCTCTTAACAACAAAGTATATAAAAATATAATTGATCTTGTATTCTGTGACCTCACTAAACTTGGTTATTCTAATAATTTTACTATGGCTTCCTTAGAATATTCTACATAAATGATTATGTCATATGTTAATAAAGCCAATTTTACTTCTTCCTTTTCAATCTTTATATATATATTTTTTCCATGCCTTATTTCCTCCATTATAATGGCGTCCTGGTGTGGTGCTATAGGCTGAACAGTGGACATCTATTAACAAGGTTGGCCATTCAAACCCACCAGCCACTCCTTGGAAACCCTATACAAGGTTGCTATGAGTCAGAACTGACTCAGAAGCACTCAACCAACAACAATGTTGAATAGCAATGATGAGAGGGTGTATCTTTGCCTTGTTTTTCAACTTGGGGAGAAAAACATTTAGTCTTTCATCAGTAAGTATAATGATACTGTAGACTTTGTCCTTTATGAGGTTGGAGGAGTTCCCTTTTTTCCTGTTTGTTAAAATTCTAATAAGCATTGGATGTCAAATTTGTCAAATGCTTTTTCTGAATGCATTAAGATAACCATGTGTCTTTTCTTTTTCCTTTAGTCTATTAATGTATTTTAATAGATGACTTTAGGATATTGAACTAATTATATATTCCTGGGGAGAATTGCACAGAATTAATTTATTTTTCTATAATTACAGTGTTACAATTATAACTATAATCTTATTTTAGAACATATCATTCTAAAAGAAAGAAATTTTGTGTCTGTTAACAGTTACTTCTCATTCTCTGCTTCCCCACTCTTCTGAGAGTCCTAAGTAACCAC